GCACTTAAACTCTTCAGGGAAGAGAGACAGGATGACCCGTACAGGGTTTAGGGGTTCCTGCTGCATGGCTTAGGGGTTTGGGGTTTGGGGTTTTTCTTCTGAGGGTTTAGGGCTGTGGCTTAATAAAAAAGGGGGGAGGCCTTGTGAGGAGGGTGGCCGCACCCCTGGCAGCGCCGCTGGCTTGTGCGGGCTCTGCCGAGCGGGCGGTGTTGGCGTCGCATGCCGGGACCTTCGCCAGGGGGTGTAGGGATGCCTTTCTACTTCAAACGGACATATATCTATGTATGCATATATGTATATTATACATATGTCATAAGCCTTGTGAAGATGTAAACATGGTGAGCATAAGGCATACATATAGGGCATCTAGCCCGTGATCCCAAACGCTGCCCTAAGAACGCAAAATGTGCCGTCCCTCAGGGGTTTTTGCCATCACCGCCTTAAACAGATTTGCCATCTGCAGGTAACCCTGCGAAAGGGAAGGATGCACAGCGCGCTACCTTTTGTGTGTATTCACCAGTACTTTTGCTCTGCAAGTGGGGTGTGGAGGCTTTCGTTTTCGGCCCACGCAACCTAAAACTCAAGCTGCTTACGTGCAAGTCTAAGTAGTTGGGCAGCTATACGTTCACAGGATCTTCGAGCAGGCCCCAAACACTGATGCCGAAAACAGGGTCCAAACCAGAGTCCCTATGCCGACCCTTCACTCCACTGCCTGCTCTGCGAGTCCGGGCGTGGGAGCAGCTGCCCTGGTGTGCGCTCGTCAGCGTCTGGCCTGGACGAAAAGTCTGAGACGGGCAAGTGAGCATCCCATCAGTGACTACAAGGCAAGATTGCAGAGGCAAATAATCCTGAGTCAAAACGCCACTTCGGAGGAGGCGGTTGCACAGTGAAGACCACATTTGCCAGTGGGCTCCAAGATTGCAAGCCTCCTGAGCCCTGCGCTCCAAACCAAAAACCCCGACCTCATACCTCTAGGCCTGGGGTTTTTCTAAGCCTTGAACCAATTACAGCTTGGAACCTAAGGTTCACGAAACCCAGAAGCCACTGTACGAGGCTTTAAAACAAAATCCAAGGCCCTCAAATCCCGGGCCCGGCGCCGATCACTGCTGGCTGAGGTGACCTCCTTGAGCTCTAAAAGTGGCCGATGCGAGCCGGAACCTGATTTGATGGGGTTAAGGGTTTTGGGGTTTTGGGTAGGGGTTTTAGGGGTTGTTAGGGTTTAAGAATCAGGAAACCCATTTGTTTCCTCCCGCCTAGCTGAACGCAGCCAAAGTGTTTCTGCAGACGCCACATTGGGTGTAGGGTTCACGGGCAATCTGCATCCCTGACCACCAGAACTGGCCTGCTGTAGCACTCCCCCCAAACCCAAGGCCTTTCCACCCTCAACCTCATAAGCCTCAAAAAGCCCAAACCCTTAGCCACCACGGAAAATCAACGTTGTGCGCCGAGATCGATCCGGATCTGACTACATCCTATCAAAAGCCATGCATCCGAGACCCTGAGCCCAAGAACCCTGACCGCTACTTCCGCCTGAATCCTTACTCACCCATGGGCCACACGTAGGCCACAAAGGCTGTGCATCCCAAGCCCCCAATGGGCCCAAAACTCCTGGCCCCAAACGTTGCCATGACAAGGGGCCGCTGGCATTTGGACTGGGTAGCGAAGGCGGAGCTTGCCCCGCAAGATCCTCAACCCAGGATGCACTCTGTGTGTGTGTGTGGAGATATATATATATATATATATTTCTTTAGTCATACAGGAATCTAAACCCTAAACCCTAAACCCTAAACCGGGTTTAGGGTTTAAGGTTTCGGGTTTCGGGTTTAAGGTTTAGGGCACGAATTCTACTCGCTACTTGCACAACCAAGATTGGGATTGTTGGCTTCTTTGCGCAGCTCCGTTCTTTACAGATTGCTGAAGTCGTAGGCTCTGGGTAATTGCAAATCCCGAGCCCTTCAGGGTAAGCAGTGGAAACCTGGCTGTTGACAGTTACATGTCTTCGCACCTCAGATAGATGGATCGAAGATTAACCTATCCGAGATAGATCACAATGCACACGGACTCTTTCAAACTCGGTGTGACGTAGGGCGCTGGGAGGGACAGGGAGGTGTTCCATAGAAGATGAGGGGGGAGATGGTTGTTTGCAGCTTCTGTGTTTTTGGCCAGGCAGCTTCGCCATCGTCCGCTCGACTACCCTGCTGGCCCATCGCAGACTACCTGGGTCACGAAGACCCGCATTGACTGTTGAGAAATGCGCACAAAGGCTTCGTGCAGTGTCTGCATGAGATGCCGGCTTGTCACAGCTGATATATTGCAAAGGCGGGGTAGACTTACAGAGTACATGAGGGATCGTGCATCGTTGGCTTTCAGGCAATCGTATGGCATATGATCCAATGACCAACGAGAGTGGAGAAACGCAATGTCTCCGAGCTGATCGGCTGGTGTCAACTCAGTAGCTCGGATCTGCACGGAACATACATCAGATGTATTGTAGAGATTTCATTATAGGCCCCAGCAATGCCTCACACTCGTAGAAGCCCCATCAAAACAATCTCCTTCCCAAATCCGACCATCCTGGCATCGAATCTCGAAAAGAAAACCATCCGGAACAGTCCCTTGAGTCGCTTGAGTCAAGACTGGCGCAGCTTCCAGAGCAAGCCGCCAATTGACCCCATAAACACGCGTCCAAGACTTCGCGCGACTGGCGGCCTCGGCATCTTCTCGGAGCAATTTCAAGGCTTCAGTATACATGAGCTCCTTTCACGGGGGTGTAGAGTAAAGCCACCTGGGCATCATGACGGACAGAAAGGGCTAAAGCAAACGCTTAAGCCCCATCATTCGAAGGTGCTGGGGCGCCATCATGTTTTCTTGATGATGCACCAATCAATATTGTATATATATATATATATATATGTCGTGAAAATGCGTAAACTTAAAATATGTGTAGATATGCATATACATGTGTGTGCATCTAGCTTTGCGTATCAGGTGCTTTGCGCGAGGAGCGCTTCAAAGGTAACCAATTACTGAGCGTGGACCTCAGAGCTGGAGCCCGAAGCTTCTGTCAGATCTTCACCGAGGGGTATGCGGGAGATGCCCGTTGTGCCAAAAAAAGGGAGCCTAGTATGGAGACTGGTCTGTGTGCTCTAGTGTCACAGGCCTCTTCGATAGCTGAAACAGGACATGGAGATTTCCGCCTGCACTTGCAAGCTTATACAATTGTCAGTGCGGAGCAGCTGCTGCGTTTTGGGCTTAACAAGTGCCCGCAATGACTCTGCAAAAGCACTGCCAAACGGTGCCTGCGTAAACAAGACCCAATCACCAAGGCGGATATCTGAGGGACCGGCCGATCCTACCGCATCCAATGGTGTAGCAACTTCTCTTAAAATCTACGCCGTCCAAGCGCCAGACTGCCCCTAGGCGTGCTTCTGGTAGGTGCGATCTGCATGCATGAAAGCCCCTGACACATATAAGCATGATAAGTACGCAGCAGCTCTGGATTCGGAGTAGGCTGGGTTTGGGGTGTTCGAATCTGGGCTGACATGGCCTTCTTGAACACCCAACCCGTGGCGCTATTCCAGACTGGACGATCCCCTAACTGGAGACCTTTTGAGCCCATGAGATGCAGATGGCGCGCCAAGTTCCGAAACGTCGACGTTGGTCGCAATCATATCTGCAGGCGGCTACAGTTGCACTTGATTCCACAGTACGTGGATGGCTCTGACCGGAATGAGCCCAGCTTGTGCAAACTGCAGCACGCAATGCTTCGTTTCTGTGTCACTATAGGTCTCATGACAAGTCCGTACCCAAGCATAGGACTTCATGTTGATGTTCAACGATTGATTTCAAAACTTACGGGAAAGCCCTAAGAACAGTCCATGGTTGTGCTGCGTGCTTTCAACCGCTATACCAGAGCAGCAGCTCATCGTAAACACACTGTAACCATTGTATGCGTTGTTCTTGAAGTCTGCAGCCCTCCCCTCCCAAACGTCGGCGCGCTGACTCGTCCCATCCAGGTCCTCCTGTCGAATGGCAGGTGTTGTTTCGTCAGTGGTTCTTCAGGAATTGCAGCCACAGGGCTTTTTTTAAAGCAAAAGCAGCCGCAAAAGAGGTGAAGTTTGCAAGAGGTGTGGCGATGCATTAGGAAGGGCAAGAGCTACCCCGGGAGCCCCATTCCCTGCCTTCGTTTACCGTTGTTGATATTGTAAGCTGAGGGAAGGAAGACGAGCATTAGGCACTCTTTGGGTTCAGTTTTGTAGAAAGTTGATGTGAAAACTGGGTGGCTCTTTTCCTCCAGCAGCTCCAGGAATTCTGTTGTCAGGGTCACCTGGAATGGGAGGCTGTCCCAACAGCCCTCACTCTGGCGAATGTCCTTACGTGCCTGACAACGCGGCCCCCCACACTTCGAGCTGCAAATCTTCCCATCCTTAGCTGCTGCACAAGCTGCCTGAGTCTCTGCAGCTCAATTTAGAGTGTCTCCCAACAATAACAAGGTTGTCTTGCAGGGCTCTGGTTGTGGCAAGCAGCCGCGAGCGGCATTCCCCCACATGTATCGAAGGGCATCTCAGCATCCATGCCGCACGCCCATCTCGATGGCTGCAATCGTCCTTTCCTCTACGAATTCACTCCGTTCTTTCTTCGCTGATGCGGTCGGAATCCCCGTGGTGCCAAGACATCCGGCACCTTGACAAGACGACCATTCTGCCCATTCTGCGAGGAGGGCGAAGCAACCAGCGGAGCCATCAACGACACAAACTTGGGCAGCACCAGCGAAATGAAATTCCGAACCACTACGCTGTTAATTGCACCAAGTGCTTCCTTCCAAGGTCAAACAGCTGAGGTGCGCTGCGCTTGGGAGCAGAAGAGCAGAGGAGGCCATGAACAGCGCCAGACTGCTACAAATGAGCTGCTTCAGTCAGGCAGTCGGACTCGTGATTCATCGAGTCTCACCTGCTATTCTAATGAGCTGCTAGAGCACTCTGCCCGATTTCAAGGAGTCGTCAAGGGCATGGGGCAAAAGCCGGTTTGAGGGTGGCCTGAAAAGCTCGGTGATGGAGCATTTCCATGCAAGCCACCGCCTCAGCCGGCTGCTCACCGGCAACAAATGCGCTGACCACCATGCAGCAAGCAACTACGTCGGTGTCTACCTGCTGATCCCGCATCTGACTGGCAAGGGCCACAGTCTCCCGCCAGGCGTTACCAGTCACACACGCCAGCATCGCACTGTTGTACGTCTTCGCATTCGCAGGCGAGGAGGAGGCATCCTCGAAGTCGTGCAGAAGAGCGAGGGCTGTTTGCCACCGTGCGCACTTGGAGCAGGAGCTGATGACGGCGTTATAGATGATTGTGTCACCCTGCTCCGGTGGATGGCACACAGCACCTAGGGCTTCTTCTCTGAGGACACTAAGCCAGGGATCGATTTGGCCTAGTTATCGTACCCAGTACCGAGTTTGATTTGATTCAAAATGTGATTTATCTTGTGATGGGGACCTGACCCCGCGCGGAGGAACTCGACCAAGAGTCCTAGGGCCTTCTGCCATTGGCTTCCCTTTTCGCAGGCGCTGACGGCAGCGCTGATGGCGACAAGGTTGGTGTTGACCTCTCGCTGTCTGGCTGTCCTGAAGGGGATCATGACACACTCTTAACAAGGGATGTCTGGCAACATGCCATCAAAGCCTCCCACTTTCTGCTACTGGTTGGCTGGGTAAGCGGAACTTGGTGCTTGAAAGTCTAGGGCTGGAGTGCCCTCTAGGATCCCATTCAAACTTCTTGTTTTGTAAACACAAATCCGGGCAAGTCAAGGAAGCGGGGGCCTCAGCACTGCCAGCGCCTCCTCCCACCGCATGCTCTTCTCACACACGCTGAGCACGGCGCCATAGGTGACGACATCAGCCTCGAAGCCACAAGGCAACAAAAACAAACAAGAAGTGTGTTGAGAAGCATTGTTGTCAACCATGTTCCACCAAGCAAAGTGCTTTCCTTCCATTCCCTTCCCGGGCTCGAACATTTGACCAAATCGATTGCCCACAGCAACCCCAACAAGCCCAGTGACCCCAACAGAATCGTCGAAACTTAAAGCTGGTTGCGCCGTGGTACCTGTACTCCCGGAGGCAGACTTGCCAGCAGCTGAAGAGCTTCCACCCAGCGGAATCCACCCTCGCAAGCGCTGATGGCAGCGTTGTATGTGATCTCGGCGGATGTTGAGAGCATCGAGGCTTTCAGGTCTAAGTGGTGCAAAAACCGTCAAACTCCATCCGGCAATCCCCGCAGACTTCCTTAGACCACCCATCCTTTTTCCCCAAAAAGTCCGAACAGCCATTGGGGCGGAGCTGCGAGGTTTGCCTGTACTGCCGCTGCTGACATCGTGGCCAGAAGCCTCAAAAGCGCATGTGTTTCCCCATGCTTTCACCTTTGGGGGGTTCATGAGGCAGACCCGTTATTTAGTTTTTGATTGGTGATTAATACAAAGCCAGAGCCTTGGGATTGAACGGCTTTCGGCTCTGGAGCCGGATCAAAGAACCATGGCTCCATGCCTTGCAAATGGAACGATTGGGGGATGAAAGTCTGCAGCTTTCAAAGGTAACGTGGGACCTGCAGGTTCTTCAAACTGCGCCATCTCCCCCCCCACCCCCCGCCCCCCTGTCAAAAAAAGTATCCGCAGCCCCAAATCCTTGAGTGCGCTCCTTCTAGGCTCCAAATCCTATATGACGACCCTTCGAACCCTCTGAAAATATTCGTAGATATGTTCCTCTTTACGCCCAACTTGGTGAAAATATGAAATATAGTTGCAGGGCCAAACTAGATTCGGCCGAAGCAGCATGGAGGCCTCTTCCCACATTCCGCCAGCAGCTAAGGCACTCAGCACAGCGCCAAAAGCCACGGTGTCCATCTCCTGTTTTAGGGTGTATAGGGTTTAGGGTTGAGACTCCAAGCCTGTGAGGCATCAAACTGAAGAAAGCTGAAATCAAATCGCAGCAGTCCAGGCTCATCTCTTCGTACTCTTTGTGCAACTCCAGAGCCTGTTTCCAGGAGTTCAAGGTGAGGGGGCGAACAGCACTTAAACCCAATCCCCAAACCGGACAGGCATGAACACATAATGCTTGAAGACTGCTTGAAGTGAACGACCTACGCGCCAGAACGCTTATCACTGAGCTGAAAAGCACCTGGACCTTCCATGCTACATGTTAGTGAATCTTGGGTAGAACTGACAGGGTACAGTAATCCGAGCAAACCAGCTCTTTTTGTTCGTCACCTGGTCGCAGGCTTTGCGACGGGCGTCTCGGCAAAAGATGCGTCAGCATTACGATTTGAGTCGGCTTGGCCGGTAGCGTAGCTGGGCAACCAATTTGCCTGCTCCTTGGCGATGGCCTGCTCCGTCTCCGTGATCAGCTGAGCGATGTTATCCACGGAGGCTTTCTCCACTTCACTGAGATGCTTCCACCAGTTGAGAAGCCGTGTCATACTGCGCACTGCACGAGTGTAGCGCTCCACTTTGCTGGTGGCATCCACAAACTCAGCCCACGTTGTGCAGCTTGACGAGAGCGCAGTAATGACCACAACAGCCGTCGGTTCACCAAATCGAGCGAGCACAGCACAAGCGACTGTGCACAGGAGAACAATTATCTTAAAAACCCAGACGTGCAAGGTGTAGACCGGAAGCCTCTTTTGGTACCACCGCATTCTTTCCAACAGCCGGAACTGAATGTACAAATCTGGCTGCAGGGGCGAGTAGTGGTCATCAACGTGAGGCAGGATTGATCCGTCTTCAAGGTGCAGGTTTCTCGCTTTGAGCTCGCCAGCGCATTGATGGTGCCTGTCTGAACCCATGACACGTGATGTTTTGCTGTTCGGAAGGCTGCTCGGCATTCCCTTGAATCTAGTCACTCGTATGCTTTGCCCAGCCTGTGTATCGATGGTGGGTAGGACTTGCTCCAAGCACTTCGCTGGAGATCCCCAGCAGACATCAGGTCTTCAGTCCACTCGTTTAGCTGCCTGCAGAGGACAATCTCCTCGGTTTTTTCAGAGAACCTACCTTCCATCCTTGCCGTACTTCGTATGGAAAACATTGTATAAACATCGCCACAACTCAACAGAAGAAACCCAAGCTTGTGACTCCGAGCTGGCCAAACCCAATGCATTCTTACACCAACAAACCACAGACCATAAACCCTATAGTCGACGGCCCCCCCAAACAAAGACGACATCCAAGTTTCCGGCTTTCTCTGGTCAAGATGGGGGCACATGCGAAACTCCCCCACGCGAGTGCGGTACATCCATATCATCGACTCCAGTGAGGAGCTACCTTCTATCGTGATCTTGCAAGCGGTTACGGGAATGAGGGTTTCTAGGCTTGGGCACTCTTCAGTTCACCCATGGCCTGGGGAATGGGCATGTAGGACACGCGCACGAGCCCATGAACACAACTATTCCACAAGGGTTCAACCCCTAACTGGTAATCTAGACCAATCTCACCTCTAAACCTGAACCCGAACCCTTTCGGAGTAAATCGTCCAAGCAAGAAGCCTCTCCGCAAGGCCTGCCACTTGGGTCGAGGCCTCAGGAGACCTTCCACAGAGACCATGGCACCATGCCTCGGTGCTTAAGTCTTCGGAGACTTGGGTTCAGGGTTTAGGGTTTAGGGTTTAGGGTTTAGGGTTTAGGGTTTAGGGTTTAGGGTTTAGGGTTTAGGGTTTAGGGTTTAGGGTTTAGGGTTTAGGGTGGTAGCCCTAAACCCTAAACCCCTGCAACCCTGGCCCTTCGGCGCCGCCTGCCTTTTCAAGATGCTGGTGAAACGGGCCCTGTGGCCTAAAGCCCATTTTATGAGCAAGACGTTCAAGCCTCACAAAGCCCTTCTACCTGTGCTCCATCGGTAGCCAGTAGCAAGTGCCTGCCCTTGGTTACGGAATGCTAAGAAGTCGGTCGAGGCGCACGACAGCCAGTATGAACACAACGTCCGAGGCCGCCAAGTTTGAGCCCAGGAAAGAGCCCTTGGCTTACTATTTCATCCGGTTCAGAACGAAAGTAGCATGTGCCATGTTAGTCATCTCAAAGAACTCTTGGTTGACACTACTATCCGAAGACAGCTTCCAAGATTCTGTCTGCACCTGTGAAACGACGATGATGAGCCACGCGAGCATCAACTGGGAAACGTACACAATCTTGGTGTACCGCTTGTACCGGTTTGCCAAGTAGTGTGCTATATCACACTCGCACCAAGCCTGCTGCAACAAAAGCAAGCCTTCCAAGGAGTTCCTCTTGGGCAAACGATCGGACTGCACCAGGTTGTTAACCCTGTGTCTCGCCTCATCCATGTCGTGGATGTTGACCTGGTGCGTGTGTGGATTCATGAGCACATTGCGGATCAGAAGGGGCAGCTCAACTGCCTTCTGGGCATACAGCTTTCTGAGGCCTTCATCTTCCCGAGCCTCTCCAAGTGAGGACCTGCAGTCATCCATGATGCGGCCAGCAAGCCGTCGGGCAACGTCCATAACCTGCATCTCAGTAGCCTCCCATACGCCCTCCGGGTTGTCTGTGGAACTTACTTGATTCTTGCGTTCCTTTCGGGCAAGTCGAATGGCTTCATGCAGAGGATGTCCACGCGTCTGCTCAATGCGCCCGTTGCTGTCTTGGTGAGCATGGCAAAAATCCCCAAACAGGAAAGCATGTGCATGTGCAACGCTGCAGACGTCGAACGATTCGCACAGATCCCGCGCACATAGTGCATCGCATGCCTCCAAGTGCTTTGCCCAAGCATATTCGATGTATTCTGCACGCGACGCCCACCCGTGACCTGGAGCCTCGCGGTAGCGCTTCCGGAGATCAAGAAGTAGCAGCTCGGTACCGGAGTTTGCCTGATTCAGACATGTCTGCCAGGTCTTGTCTGAGGCAGATGGCAAGAACTTGTCGGTATAGGCGGTTCGCAGCGCGATCGAGGGGACACTGCCCGCCAGGAAGCGCATCAGCTCCGTTCGCAGGTCGTCCCCCGGCTTAGCATCAAAGTGTCTTTGGTTGTTACAAATTCGGTCCACGATCAGAAAGCACCGAGCCTGAGATGGTCCTATGGTTCTGGCAAAATCGGTTGAGCCAAGAGGTTGACTTGTTCAGACCCCAAAGCTGTCTCGACCCCAAAGCTATCACACACACACACACACACACACACACGAAGTACTTCGCTTCTCTGGTTACTCTGGTTCAAAGGCTGTTGTTGCATCACGATGTTCAGCATCCTTGATTTGCCCTACAGCCGTCTTTCAGGTTGAGAGAACATCCAGGGAGCATCAGGATCCAAGTCGTGTCCCAACTCGAGGGCTTCAGGATCGCGACCGAAGTACATGCCAGCGCTTACCATCTCCTCAGCCGTTTCTTTGGCGAGCTCTGAAACACATGAATGGAACATGCAGACATACAGACGATACAAAATACAACTGCTTACTAACTTTACATATCCCGTATAAAATGTCAGGTCGCCGAAAGAGCTTTATCACGGCTCCGCCAAGCCCTCGACATTCTGCGGAGGGCGCGCCAGTAGGCATCTTTCTTTGAGTTGAAATACAGGATCGGGGTGTTGATGGCCACGGAAAGGATGGTGAAGGGAGGTGTGGTGCCCCACTTCGCGTGCTGCTGCCGGTAAGCCCGGGATAAGGCGCCAGCGAGGCCACACTCCCCCACCATGGCACTGGTCAGGATGAGCGCTTGGGTAGATGCCGCCAGGGGCAGGATCACATCGGACCTTGACAGTATATGTCGCACCCGGTTTATTAAGGGCCCCCGGCCCTCCTCCCCCCCCCCCTTCCCCCGCTAGCCCCAGCCCCAACAGATCGACCCTCCATAAAGGAACCTTAAGTCCTCAAGCCTTTGGGTGGCCTTACAGCCTGAAGCTTTCCTGCCTTGCTATAGAAGGCTCCTCCCGCGGCAGGCCTCGATACTGTAGCAGGTGACCCCAATCACACCTGCTAAAGTGGATTGGGCTGGCCCGTGGGCTACCACAAAATTTGTTTGGGGCCTCGTTTCGTACAGCAATTTCTACAAGTAAGGTTCTAGAACGCTTTAGATAGAACTGGCCGGGCTTAGCAGCAAAGTGGAAAATCTCAGACGGCCATGTCTCCCCGCCAGACTGTTCCATCCATCGAGATTCATGTTGCGCCCGGTTTTGTGGACCCACCCTGTATGTTCACAAGTTTTTTGCTCGAAATTATTCTGCGAACGCAGTTTGTTTGGGTTGCCCAGGTGAATTTGTCGAGCAAACCTTTAGGTTTCAGGTTAAGGGTGTGTCTGACTCGTCCGTGTTCCTGAAATAACTTCTCTCTGAGGAAGCATGCGCTTAAGGCCATGCAAGCGGCATGAAGGTCTCCAGTAGGGCCATCGTTTCATTCTCATCATCGGAACTGAGAAAGGGAGGTCGGTCATGACGTAGCTCTGGTGAGGTCCCGTCACGAAAGAGTTCAGCGTCTGCTGGATACAAATTGAGGGAGTTCCGAAGACCCATTGAAGGAATAAGGTCAATCACCAGCTTGGGCGGAGGAATCTCGAAAGCTTCCAGCAGTTTCCTCAAAGTCTTTGTGCTGGCGCTAATGGAATCTGCCTGTGCGTTTGTGAGGAAAAGCATTTTCACAGGGCCATTGCCCACATCGATGTCCTCAACGGCTTTCCGACTTGTTACAGGCTTCAAACTTATTCCACCTCTACATCTCCCCCCCCCCCCCCCTACTTGTGCATCCGCCACAAAGCCTACTCCCTCTTGGCGCAGCTCACGCCCTCATGTGTCCTCGACCATCTCGTACATTGTCTTGGCCTTCATCACCTGCAACTTCTCCATGTCAAAAACAACGCCTGACATAATGTCGTCATCTTCAACATCCAGATCAGACTCTGCTGCGTGTAGCTCTGCTGCTGGATGCGTTGGGTCCACAGGCACCACCGCAGATTCTAGCGCTCTTTCCTTCGGTGCCTTCCACGGTGCACACACCTAGCTAGCCACGCAAAACGACCTCCCTTTTTTGCCCAGAAGAAGCTGCAAAAAGCCCTCGCGCCTTGGTGGTTTTTTTCAACGTCCCCTTCTTGGCCTTGTGTTTTGCGGTGACCTGCTGTGGCAGCACGCCGCTTGGCGAGACGTGGAGCTGCGGCTTCATTGCTCAGAGCTCGCCCGAGCTGTGTCGGAATTCGGTTCTGGGGATCGTCTACCGGGCCTGGAACCCGACGGATTCTGGAAGGAGTTGGTCTGGGCCTAGAAGGAAGTTTTAGGTTCGACGCTGGAGGTTATCTTTGAACCTGAGAAGGCCGCGGCACGGCAATCATCGCAACGAGCACAAGCTCGGGTTCAGGTTAGGGTGATCAGGTGATGTAATGACGAGGCACATGAAGCAGGCTCGCCGAAGGCCTTTCATGATCGGAAAAGGGCGGGGTGAACTTATTCCTTGCCCACTGAGAGTGTCAACCCGGGAACCAATGGATGATTTTGGCCTGCGCCCACTGACTGCTCAGCGCACAGGCACTGGTGCAGGTGCTGCAGAGGACGGTGTTCACGCGCTGGCCCCGATTCTTCCTTTTCGGTCTGGGAAAGTTGAAGGGCCAAGACATCTTGCATGTGGACATGTTCTTAACAGTATACCTTTGAAACAAATAAAATAGGTCTCCCCCAACCTCCTCACACTCACTGCTGTCGTGGGGCAGATCAGCCCAGATGTGCACAGCCCGCCTGCCAATGCATTTGAGAATTCGCAGCTTCGGGCCGATTTTAAGTCCACAGTCTTCTGCTTACCTGAATCGGGTGTACGTCGGAGGGCTTCGAGAGTTTGTATAATTGAAGGTTTGCCGGCCCAAACCCCTTTTTGTCTCTATCCGCAAGCCGAGGGCCACCATGTCAAGATTTCTGGCCGAGGAGCGTCCACGCATGGCCGCGGCCACATGCGGCGGCCAGCGAGCTGCACAGAATAACCTTGGCCGGGGAACCAAATGAGTGCGTAAAGCATTCAATACGCAGGTGCCACATATACCCAGGCGAATCGTCAAAAGCTTCCTTGCCCTGGCATCTTCTAACATGTCCTGTAATCCTGCTGGAAGCCTGTCAACTGTTCCCTCCTGTCCCGTTGAGACGATGTTTTTCATGCAGTCATTAAGCATCTTTATGGTTGTAGCATGCTTGAGCGTTTACCTCTCCAGAGAACTGCCCAGCCGCATCGGCTTCAATGCTCGCTTCTCCTGCACGCCAAATAGAAAAAGTCTGAAGAAGCTCTAGATGTAGCGGAGACCCAAACCAGCTCAGAGCAAGGCGAGCTAAGATTAGGCGATGTTGCTGGTCCAGCTTAGGCTCGCGCAAAGTTGTGGAGCACATAGCACATAACCTCACATGGTCACATGGCCCAAAACGCACGCCTGATGCTGCAAAGAGTTCCACGGCGCTCTGCCATTGGCTGCCCTTCTCCATAGCCTCAGCAGATCGAGGTCTTGGATTTCTGGGCCCTCGCAGATGTCAAACAAGAGCAGACGACTCCCAAGGACCGCCACCTCCAGCAAAGCCGGATGAAGGCCCTAAAGCTAAATCGTAACCCCACTCGCATCCACTCGCACCCAAGGTGAATCTCGCAACGAATAGAACTTAACCCCCCCTCCCAAAGCAGCTCTTGGTTGTTTTTTGGACAAGTGGCACTGACTCCGGCGCTGACTGTCACGAGAGTTGGCTCGACACCTGCCTGCTGTGAAGCTCTGGTGGTTCCGATGCTTCTGCCGTTTGGGAGATGGGACCCGAATACTTTCGAGCATTCCAGGGCTCAAGTAGGTCGTAAGCTTTACACCCGCTTGTGGGGCATTGGCATGGCTGCCATAGCCACGCAAAGCGCACCTTTTCTTGCCAGAAGGGCCGTGCCTTCCCTCTAAGACCCATCCCCAAGCCGAAACCGTAAGAAACGCTCCCGAAGGCCTCCCTCAAGTGCTGGAAGCAGCTCAGCGCCACCGTCCACGCGCTACCTCTCTCACAGGCACTGATCAGCCTCACTGGAAGATGTGAGGAAAACAAAGATTGAAGGAGGTTGTGGGATGCAGCGTTCCAGGAATTGTGCCGACTAATGACAGGGCTCTGGTGGCTGGCGTGGGGTGGCAACCTTCTCTGAAACCGAAACTTCAGCCGTTCTCCAGTCACAAGCAGCAAAATCCAACAATCTGTGAAGTACCCGGCAACGCATTGTGCGTCACGATGTCCGCGCGCAGGCTTGCCTGTTGCAGCTCCTCCCGGGGTTTCAGCGTTCTGGGCTTGTCGCACAGCTGGCAATGCCTCGAGTGACTTGCACTCATGTTGCGGGCATGCTGACTGCGGGCAAAGCGATGGATGATGGATGATGGGCGCGTGAAGGCAATGAAGGCGATAATGGCGATGGTGGTGGTGATGGTGATGATGAGGAGCAGATGAATGAAATGGGTTCAACCTTGACAATGCTAAGTCCCAACTACCCTATACTGACGGCCTCAATAAACCAGGAAAGCCATCCCATGAAAGCCATCAGAGTCACTGTCACCTAAGCGTCCCCAAGCCCCCAGAGTCCTGAAAACAGTGCAAGGATTTGGCCCACTGAGAGCCTGCAGCCCGAGTTGAGGAAGAGTTCGGTGGGTTGGGTTGTCACTTTTCATGTTGGGTTTAGTAAGTTTAGTATTTAGGCCTTCGATGGCCCGACATACGATGTATTCTTCGCACTTGTGGAACTGTCACTTTAACTTTGCCCCGCGCGAGCCAAGCTGCCCGCCTTTGCCGAAGGCGCTAACTAGAGTGTTGAAGAGGATTGTGTCTACCTGCGCAGGTTGAGGTGGCTGTCTTGTTCATGTCATGTCTGCTAAGATTGCTTTGAACTACACACATACAAAGCCAATTGCACAGGGTAGAAAAAGGATACTCCGCAACCAAAGTTTAGAGGACATACACGACAGAAGTCCGTCTGGGGAGCACGAGCTACACAGCAGCAAGCCCAGGCCCAAGAGGCAGAATCTAGAACCAAGCAGTGGCCAGTCTCACATACGTGCAAAGGATAGGGCACTCCAGCATAAACCCACAATGGACCAGACAAGGAAGTTGGACAATGCAAACGCCGGGCAATACGATCTCCAAGAGCCCGCCATATGAGCGTTCCAACAGTGTCAGCGATCAGCCGGCTGAAAACACCCGAAGCACAGCAAAATCTCCCACCAATTCCTCTCAAAGGTCACAGTCAGGCATAGCTGCGGTATCCGTGATACGCCCAAGCTTCCACTGGCACCCTCGGGCAGTGCATCCGTCACGTGGGCCAACGCAGGAACGCCCACAGCATCGCAAGTCCCGGCATTCACGCAGTGAAGGCCCACGAAATTCCGTACCCAGCAAGGGCAGCAGAGGCCTCTTCTAAGCACAAACATGAGCAAGTGTCAGTGTATGTATGATATATGAGTATTCAGTGATGAACAAAATCGATATGTCTACACGAGCACATTTATTCACATGCGTATATATATATATATGGACACACCCCCCCCCCATGACCCATCCAGATCTGTTTCCCTCGTAAATACCGTTTAAAACCCGATCGTGCCCTATGCCGTTTTTTGCTACTCTCAGTGGCTGTATCTCGACAAAACAGACCCCACACGGCCCGCAAGACTGGACGCCGAGACGCGCGAGACCAAAAAACCAAAAAAACCATCTTTTTTAGAGAATGGGGAGGGGATGTTGAAAAAGATGGCTTTTTTGGTTTTGCCTCGTAAAAAGATGGTTTTTCATAGAAAAACCAACTCTTCCCACGTAAAAAGATGGTTTTGGTCTGGTCTGCCTCAGGAAAACCATCTTTTTACGAGGGAAAAGTTGGTTTTTGGCTCCAAAACCATCTTTTTACGAGGTAAAAGTTGGTTTTTGTGTCCAAAACCATCTTTTTACGTGGGAAAAGTTGGTTTTGCTATGGAAAACTATCTTTTTACGAGGCAAAACCAAAAAAACCATCTTTTTCAAAATCCCCTTCCCATTCTCTAAAAAAGATGGTTTTTTTGGTTTTTTGGTTTTGCCTCGTAAAAGATGGTTTTGGAGTCAAAAAACAACTTTTACCTCGCAAAAAGATGGTTTTCCTGAGGCAGTCCAGACCACAACCATCTTTTTACGTGGGAAAAGTTGGTTTTTCTATGAGAAACCATCTGTTTACGAGGCAAAACCAAAAAAACCATCTTTTCAACATCCCCTCCCCATTCTCTAAAAAAGATGGTTTTTTTGTTTTTTTTTGTTTTGCCTCGTAAAAGATGGTTTTGGAGCCAAAACCAACTTTTACCTCGCAAAAAGATGGTTTTGGCGTGGTGTTCTTAAGGAAAACCATCTTTTTGCGAGGGAAAAGTTGGTTTTCCTATGAAAAACCATCTTTTTACGAGGCAAAACCAAAAAAACCATCTTTTTCAAAATCCCCTCCCCATTCTCTAAAAAAGATGGGTTTTTTGTTTTTTGGTTTTGCCTCGTACCTCTCTCGGGCCAGAACCGTTCAGCTCTACATGTAGCTATGCTTGGAGGCTCGTTGGTTTTGGTCAGTCTTATATTTATCTCAGCAATAGCATTCCTATTCCTATTAATGTAAAAGGGTTCCTAACCATCTTTATAGGACTTCTTTTCATTTTACTTATATTCTTATGAACTTTCAGAGGGTTCTTATTCAACATCAGAGGATTCCTAATACTTTTCAACAGGGTTCTTATGCATTTCAACAAGGTTCTTCATCATTTTCAAGTGGCTCTTTTAATTCCAACACGGTTCCTCTGAAATAAAAAATCTTTTTAAGATTCATATTGGTGCCTATTCATTTTCGTGAGTTTCCAAGTAATTTTAATGGTATTCTTAGAAAATTGAATAGCATTCCTCGAACTATTAATTAGGAATCACATTAAGTCTAACAGGAAGCCAAGAAATTTTGAAAAGGAACCACATTAAATTTTGTAGGATTCCTATTGGTTCCTATTATTTTTAGTAGGATTCCTCTTCATTTTAAAAGGATTCCTATCAATTGGTAATAGGGTTCTTAAAAATTTTACTGGGGTTCCTAATAAACTCCGATTAACGTCAAAGGGTTCCTGACCATCTTAATGGGACTCCTCTACCATTTCAGAATATTCTTATGAATTTTCATAGGGTTCTTATTCAATGTAGAAGGATTCCGAATACGTTTTTGTAAACAGGGTTCTTATGAATTTCAACAAGGTTCTCAATCATTTCAAAGTGGCTTCTTTTAGTTTCAATAGGGGCCCATCTGAAAATGAAAAGGGCTCATACTTCTTTTTAGGATTCCTATTGGTTCCTATTCATGTTTGTGACTTGCAAAGAAATTGGAATGGTTTTTTCTGGAGATTTGAATAGCATTCCTGTCCCATTAATTCTAATGGGAATCACATGAATTCTAACAGGAAGCCTAGAAATCCGAACCACATTTATTTTTATAGGATTCCTATTGGTTCCTATTAGTTTAGTAGGATTTCTCTTCATTTTCAATGGATTCCAATAGGGTTCTTATGATTTTTAGTGGTGTTGCTTATAAATTCTAATTGATGGTAGGACCCTCTTCATTTAAAAAATCTTAATTTGTAAAAGGGTTCTTATGAATTTTAGTGGGGTTCCTCATAAATTGAATAGGATTCTAATTCATCATAACAAGATTAAGAGAAATATTAATAGGATTCCTATTTAGATTAAATGGAATTCCCACATTCCCGTGAATTCAAAAAGGGTCCCTTTTCATTTTGACAGGCTCCCTACTATTCTTCATGGAGGCCCTATTATTTTTCTACATTTTAATAGCATTCCCATGACGTTTGATAGGGAGTTCCTCTGACTCAAATATGATTCCAAGTCATTATTCCTATTGATTCAATAAAGAGTCTTATTAATCTTAATAGGGCTCGTATGAATTTCATAGGGTTTTCGTTCAACTAAGAGGGTTCTTATTAAATTCATAGCTATGACTATGTATGGATTTCTTACTCCGACACGGCCTCACGGTGGGTCAT